CATTTCGGGCTTCCCCAGCGGCAGCGGCCGCCCGCATGCGGTTCCAGCCCCATTTCGGCACACCCCTCACACGCTTCGTGGCCCCATGGGGAGCTTCACCGAAGGCCCCGGCGGCAGCGCCCGCATGCGGTTCCACCCCCATTTCGGCACACCCCTCACACGCTTCGTGGCCCCATGGGGAGCTTCACCGAAGGCTCCGGCGGCAGCGCCCGCATGCGGTTCCACCCCCATTTCGGCACACCCCTCACACGCTTCGTGGCCCCATGGGGAGCTCACCGAAGGCCCCAGCGGCAGCGCCCGCATGCGGTTCCAGCCCCATTTCGGCACACCCCTCACACGCTTCGTGGCCCCATGGGGAGCTTCACCGAAGGCCCCGCGGCAGCGCCCGCATGGGTTCCACCCCATTTCGGCTCACCCTCACACGCTTCGTGGCCCCAGGGAGCTTCACGAAGGCCCAGCGGCAGCGCCCGCATTGGTTCCACCCCCATTTCGGCACACCCCTCACACGCTTCGTGGCCCCATGGGGAGCTTCACCGAAGGCCCCAGCGGCAGCGCCCGCATGCGGTTCCAGCCCCATTTCGGCACACCCCTCACACGCTTCGTGGCCCCATGGGGAGCTCCAACCGAAGGCCCCAGCGGCAGCGCCCGCATGCGGTTGCACCCCCATTTCGGCACACCCCTCACACGCTTCGTGGCCCCATGGGGAGCTTCACCGAAGGCCCCGGCGGCAGCGCCCGCATGCGGTTCCACCCCCATTTCGGTACACACTTCATACGTTTTGTGGCCCCATGGGGAGCTCCACCGAAAGCCCCAGCGGCAGCTCCCGCATGCGGTTCCACCCCTCCACTTCGGCACACCTCTAACACGTTCCGCGACCCCATCGGGAGCTCCACCGAAGGCCCCAGTGGCTGCGTTCGCATGCGGTTCCACCCCCTCATTTCGGCACACCCCTCACACGTTTTGTGGCCCCATAGGGAGCTCCACCGAAGGCCACAGTGGATGCGTTCGCATGCGGTTTCACCCCCATTTCGGAACACCCCTCACACGTTTCGTGGCCCCATAGGGAGCTCCACCGAAGGCCCCAGTGGCTGCGTTCGCATGCGGTTCCACCCCCATTTCGGCACACCCCTCACACGTTTCGTGGCCCCAGGGGAAGCTCCACCGAAGGCCCCAGTGGCTGCGTTCGCATGCGGTTCCACCCCCATTTCTGCACACCCCTCACACATTTCGTGGCCCCACAGGGAGCTCCACCGAAGGCCCCAGTGGCTGCGTTCGCATGCGGTTCCACCCCCATGTTGGCTCACATCCTTTATTTGTCATAACCCCACAAGGAGCTCCACCGAAGGCCCCAGTGGCTGCGTTCGCATGCGATTCCATTCCACATTTTGGCGCACCCCTCCCACGCATCGTTGCCCCATAGGGAGCTCCACCGAAGCCCCCAATGGGACTGCCCGCATGCGTCCCGAAAGCCCAGTTTGGCATTTCCACCCACCCAGTACAGCGTTGCGTGGCCCCACGGGGAGCTCCGCCGAAGCCCCGAATGGGACCGCCCGCATGCGTCCCCACACACACACACACACACACACACACACACACACACACACACACACACTTTGGCATTCTCGCATACCTAGTACAGCGTTCCGTGTCCCCAAAGGGAGCCCCACCGACGGCCCCCGCTTCGTGGCCCCATAGGAAGCTTCACCGAAGAAGATATTCACAATTGCGGCACCCACAACTGCATGTGGTTGGGTCTTTCGCCAGGATAATGCACGACGCGAGGAATCAGGAGGGGAAGAACACACAAACAGATACTATCAACCGTCGATTCCCAGGAACACATCGGAAACTATGGGAACGGGGGGAAGGACGAGCGCCCGGCAAATGTGGGAAACGATTGGAAATCCTGGGATGTGTGCCTATGCATCGTTTGTGTGTCCCTGGGCTCCTTCAAGGGTGCCGGACGTGCGTGCACGCTGCGCCCGGCTCCCTTTTTGATGACGGGCGCCCGTGGCCTCGGCGCGTGTTCGGCCGCCCCCCCGCAGGGTGGAGCAGCCCTCGCATCGAGCGGGGGGGGGCACGCGCCGATGGTGGGGTCCTCCTCCGCCTCCCCCTCCTGCTCCTCCTCCTCCTTCTCCTCCTCCTCCTCTTCCTCCTCCTCCTCCTCCTCCTCCTCCTCCTCCTCCTCCTCCGTCCGTCGAGGCCTCCTACAGGGGGGGCGCGCATCAAGAAGCCATCTGCTTTTCCTCAGGGTATCCTGGGTATCTTCGCTCCTCGCGCTTCGCGGTGACCTCCCGCAGCAGCTGAAGGAGCTGCTGCGTTCAGGGTGCTCCAGGTTTCCCCTCAGGTGCACCTCGCGCACGGGTTCTCAGGGTTGGGTTTCTTGCGAGGGTTTCTTGCGGCCGCGCCCGCACTGTAGGTGGGGTCGGAGGGGACAGGGGTCGGAGGAGCGCGCCGCATCGCCGATGCATCGACGATGCGGCTCGATGCGGAGCCCGATTTTCTCAGCGCCGATGTCGCCGATGCGTCGCCGACGTCGCCGATGCATCGCCGATGCATTGGCGATGCTGCTTGATCCTGCGTCCCCATCTACGATGCCTCCAGTCCGAGAGAGGGGTGCTGACCAGGGTCAGGAAGTGGTGAAGCGTCCTGGCTTGTCTGTAGTCCCACAGAGAATGTGCTGCGAGCTTTTTGTGCGTTGCACGAAGTGTTCGTATGTATAACATGTCTGACTGACGCAGTTGTGTTTGCATCCTTCGGTGTGATGTTCTAAAAACGTGATTGCTATTATCAGAGCGTCCTGGTGTTCCAAGAACATGTCGCGGCAAGCTTATAGAACGTCCGGATGGTCGGACCCTGCTCAACAGGAGAATGTGGATATCACGGCCTGGACCATGAAATGTTCGAGATCTCATGGCGCCCTCTTGTTCTTTCAGTATGTTTTTTTTCCCCCCCTCGTCCACGCACATGCCTCGGGTCATCATGCGCACTACCCCCTGGCACGTGCACGAAGAGGCACGTCGGTGATCCTATATCGGTCGTTGCTAGTTTCGCGATTGGCTGGTTATCATCGTCGTCATGGTTTTCGCAGTCACAGTTGTCATCGCCACGTTCGTCCTCATCCCCTCTCCTGAACGCTCCCCCTCACTTCAATCACCCCCTCAAGAACACATGGTTGTGTTGATGCGCTCGTCTACTCGATAAGTAGTGTCGCACCTGCTGCGTGCGAATGGTAGAGCAACAGGCACGATCAATGCGGCACGGGTCCATAAGGAGCAGCTGCTGGAGGAGGATGACGAGGAGAAGATGAAGGATGAAGCGAGCGCGCAAGGCGAAGACGGGGAGCTGGGGGAGGGGACAACGGGCGAAGCGAGGGGAGAGGGGGAGAGGGAGGGAGGGGAGGGGGGAGGGAGGGTGGGGGAAGAGAGAAACATAACGAGAAAAGAGGGAGAGAGAGAGAGAGAGGGGAGCGAGAAAGAGAGCGAAAGGGGAGAGAAAGAGCGAGCGAGAGAGAGAGAGAGAGAACAACAAAGAAGAAAGGGGTGACGCGAATGGAGGGACGGGGAGAGAGAAAGAGAACAGGGTGGAGGAGGAGGAGGAGGAGGAGGAGGAGGTAAGACGCGAGGGACGAGGCGGATGAAGAGGAGGAGGAGGAGGAGCAGGGGCCTCGCCCCCCACTCCTCGCGGCCGCGCTGCCTCACATCAGGTCAAGGCCGCCGAGGAGATCGACGACGACAGGTTCCAAGACAAGCTGGCGATGACCACGCCCCCCGTCCTGCTGCCTCCTCCTGAGCCTAAATTGCCCTCTACCAATCCTCCTCCTCCTCCGCCTCCTCCTCCTCCTTCTCCTCCTCCTCCCTCGCCATAATTCCCACCATTATCCCCTCTTTTCCTCCCCCTTCTCCATCGTCCCCTCCGCCTCCTCCTCCTCCTCCTCCTCCTCCTCGAGGCAGCGTGCTTTCTTGATCGATCGGGTGATCGTCCTCTCTCTCTGCGTGCGGGTCGGTTCGGCCAGTTAATTCGCGCTCCGGGCTCGCTTTGTCGGGATCACCTCCTCGTTGCAGTCTTCCTTCCTCTCCTCTTCTCTCTGCCTCGCTGCTATTGCTCGATCCACCGTTTGGAGTACGGGCGCGTTCCAAATGGAAGGAGGAAGAGGAGGAGGAAGAGGAGAAGGAGAACAAGAAACAGCAGGAGAAGGCTCCGTCAAAGTCTGCCTCAAGGGAACTCCCCCTGGTCGGCGCTCAAGACTGGGATCTCGAGACAGGTCGCCGCTTAAGACTGGGTGGCAGCCCAAAAGCCTGAAAGAGGAGATGGAGCAGCAGCCGCGACCCGCGTAGCGGGGGTCAGCCAATCGGAGGGATCTCGAGCCCAAGCATGGTTGACGGGAGGTCAAAAGGCCCGCGCCAGTTTTCGGTTTGGTGGGCCCAGGTATGGTCGACAGTTTTCGGTTCTGGGGGCTCGGGCCACTACTGGGGACCATCGAAAACGATTCGGGATGAAGACCTGGCCTTGGAGAAATGGTCGAGATTTCTGTGAGAGGAGGCGTATCACAACAATCAAGACATCGGATGTTCTTTGGAAGGTTCTCGGAGGGTTTTTCCATGGTGTTCGGAACTTGGCAGAGGGTGCTGGAAAAGGGGGCCCTGAAAGAGCACTGAAGGAACCCCCTGGGTCCCCGAAGGTGGACGAAAGGTGCGCCTTTCGTCTCCCTCCCCCCCCCCCTGACTGCCCCCATCGTAAGTAGCGCCCGGGCAGCCGGGGCCCGCGTGACAAAGGGCAGCCATCTGGAGGGTGTTCGGAGGGTTCTCGGAAAGGGTCTTGTATAGTCTGATTGGTTGTAGACTGCAGGTTAAGTGGGAGGGGGTGTGGGCTCAGGTAGCCATTTTGGGTCCGTAGCGTTCGGCTCTGGCCGACGCGCGGGTGTTCCAGGGGGCCGCGGGGCGGCCATAACCACAGCCGTGCTAGTCCGCGGACTAGGTAGCGCGCCTGTGGTGCCATGGCTGTGGGCTTCCTGGGGGCGCACCTGATGATCTTGGTTACGGGCGGCGCTCTTACGGTCCAAGGGGCACTTGGCTGGCTGCCATTCGGGCGCGGGGGACATGAGGTCCCAGCGCCGACGCCGCCAGCCCTGCCCGGGCCGACAGCGCCGCCGGCAGGCGGTGGGGGGCGAGGCAAGGGGCGAGGACCGCCCGCCAAGCCCGCGCCTGCAGGGGGAAAGGGGCGAGGGCCGCAGGCCAAGCCCCCGGGGACGCCGGGCGTCCCACCGCCGCCGCGGTCAGGGTCGACCACAACGACCACGACCGCGGGCATCGGGCGCGTAGGCGAGGGCGAGCCCACAGGCAGCCCAGCTACGCCGGCATACGGAGGTAACAACGAGCCCACGGGCGCGCCTGGGCAGCCGTCCGCCCCGGGAAACCGGACGGGCGATGGTGAGCCTGACCTGCCGCGTGGGCCGGACGGGTATTGGGGGTGGAGTGGTTGGGTCCCGCACCTGCCCCATTGGTGGGCTGGCCGGAGCGAACCCCCACCGCCGCCGCCGCCACCTACACCGCCCCCGGAGGCAGGGCCGGGTCCCGGTTGGGGCTTCGCAGCCTGGGTCTTCGAGGTCGTGGGCTATGGAGCGTGGGTAAGCTCCCCCGACCACCCGGGCACGATCCGCACGAGTGGCGGATGGTTTGGATCCGCCGTCGACCGCCTGGGCGTCAAGATGCTTGGGTATTGGTGGGAGACCGCGGTCTTATGCTTTGCCCTAGGCATCTTCACGTTCGTGTTGGGTGCCCTGGCCTTCATCGTCAACACCGCAGCCCAGCCTATGCTGTGGGCTGCCGGGGGACTCCGCTGGGCGTGGTACCAGATTACCCGGTGCTGCCAGCGACGCGGAGGGGATGGGCCTGGCGCCCATCTTCCCCCACCCCCTCCGACCCCCTTGCTGGTGCGCTGGCGCGGGCCGGGCTTGGGCGGCGTGGTGGAGACAGAGTTCTACACAAAGGGGGTCCGCGGCCGAGGGACCAATCGGGCGTACAACCACGTGCTGCTGCGTAAGCACGGGCAGGTGGCCCGCATCAGCTGCAACTTCGCGGACCGGTACCGATTGGACCGCCACGGGCTCAACATCAAGATCGGGCAGGTCCTGGGGTGCACCAGTCGCAAGTGGCGGCTGAACCTCGAGGAGACAGGGAATGTGCATCTATGTCGTGCTGTCGAGTGCGCCTCCTGTCCAGTGGCGCATCCCATGCACGTCGACCAGTACGCGGCCATTGACCACACACAGATCGTGGACTTGGCTGAGCACGGAAGGGCCACGGCCTGCCGAGCAGTCGGCGTGGGACTCCGGAAGGTATTCGGGGTCGTCAAGTGGCTGCTTTGCTCACCCTGGTCGGTACTCGGATGGCTGTGCCGGGGCCGGCCGGAGCCCCGCTACATCACCGACGCCACGGGCTATCGCCGCCTGGACATCGACTCGGAGAGCGAGGTGGAGGCGGAGGAGCGCCCCTGCCAAGCCGCACAAGTTGGGGTGCAGCTCGCGGGTGGCGCACGCCCCCTCCAGCCGGAGGGGTGCGGCGACCGAGGGATGCAGGAGGCCACTGTCCTGCTACAGGAGGACGCGGAGGTGTCGGACGTTCCTCGGCCTGGGCATTGTCTCAATGCACAGGTGCACCTCTGCGCCCACCATGCGCAGAAGTATCGGTCTACCCTGATCGGCCGCAAGTGCAGCCTCCCCACTTGTCTCCGCATGGCGAAGGGTAGCTGCGGGGGGGCCCCGATGTGCGGGGAACATCTCCGACGGGACGAGGGTCACACCGTGCGCGTCGAGGCGACGGTCCAACCTGGGATCCTCGGGGGCCTGCGCCGCCGCATGCGGGCGCGGGCTCCAAGCCCCGCCAGGGTGCGCGATTGGACCGCGCACGCTGCCGATGGGGTTGGCATTGCGGCCGAGCCGGTCTACCCCCCGCCTCTACCTCCCCCCGCTGCACCGCCACCGCCCGCCGTGGCCCCATCTGTCGATGTGGAGCCCACGGGGGCGCAGGCCCTAACCTCGGGGCCGCAGCCGCGTCGCACACGCTCCGCGGAAGCTAGGGCCAGCGGACGCTCACGGTCTGCCGACCGCGGGGCCCCGGGCGATCGGATCGCCCACCACGGGTGGCTTCGGGAGCCCCTACTCGTGAAGGTCTGCCCGATACTCCCGGGCGACCCTCGGGGAGCCGAGGAGGCATACGCCGCGCCCCCGCCTTGGTTTATTCTATTGGGGGAATGCGAGGGGCTCGACGTACGGGGCACTGGCGGGGACGCCAGACTTATCATCGGGACTAGCCTCGAGGGCGTCAGGGTGGAGGTCCCAGCCAGCGAGGTCGTACGGCACCCCCCCCCGCTGGAGGACGGGCGCTACCCGATAGATTGGATCAATCGGCTGCTGTACGAGGTCCCCCAAGGGGCTCGGGAAGTGGGGTTGCGTGTCATCGCCCACCACATCCCGCAGGATCTGCTGGCGATGTTACGCCAGGAGCAGTGGGGCGGTGTGGACGTGGAAAGCGCGAGCGGCTGGAGGCGGCGCTACCTGACGAACACGGAGCGCCAGCAGCTGCAGCACGACCCTGTACGCACACTCGGCCACCATCGGCGGGGTGGCGCGCAGGGGGCGCCGCCTGCGCCCGGGATGGAGGGCTTGCCCCGTCCCGCCCCCGTGGCGGCACTGTCGCGCTTAGCGGCGGCCGCCGCCGGCGTGAGCGAGGACGCCGAGGAGCCCGACCCGCTCGAAATGTTCATGGACTCCTTGCGAGCCGAGGATCTCAAAGGACGGGGGGGCCAAGCGGCGGCTCTCAGTGCATTAGGTATGGCCGCGGACCTGCTCGGGGTTCCGCTTGATCAGGCGGAGCGGCAGCTGCGGCGGAGGGTCGCGCAGGTGGCAGCGGCGGGCCCACTGGGGTCCGACCTAGAGCGCGCCCTCGCGGATCTGGAGGATGCGCAGCTGGAAGCGCGCGCGCGGGAGCGTGCTGCGGCCGCCGACAAGGTTCCCCTGCAGGGGAGCCTCTCACGTGAGGGTTCGCGGAGTCGCTCGGCGCGGGGACGGGATCCCAGCCCGAAGCAGGGACCCCGACGCGAGCTCTTCGGTGCCATGCCCCCCATCCAACCCACGGGCCCACGACGGGGCTTGCTGGGTGATCGGGACCTGCTGGCACGCGATGGACGCGGGGGGGCCGCCCGTGGGGCCAATCCGCTCCTCGACGGGGCCTCGGTCCTTGGCCACCTCACTGGCCAGACGCCCCACGGGGGCGGCCTGGGTGGGGAGCGAGCTGGGGGTCCAGACGACGCCGGGGCGGCGGGCGCCCTGGGCGGGCTTACAGTCGAGGCCGAAGCCCAGATTATCGAGCGCCTGGATCGCCAGAACCGCCTCACTGAACGCCACGTCCTCGCCGCCGAGCGGCAGGCGCGGGCCACCGAGGGCGACAAGAAGGCCCGGGGCACCAGGGCAGGGATCGGTCGGGACGAGGAACTCGATCTTTACATAGCCCGGGGATGCAACACCTTCGTGGCTGAGGCCTGCGAGGGTATCACGGGGAAGGACTTGTTCGACTCACTCAAGCGCATGTGTGCGCACTCCAAGAGCACGCTCAAGACGATCGGGTTTCCCTGCCTGGTTACCAACCGTGTGGCACACGGCTACGCGGCGCTCGCCTTCGGGACGGGCCCTCACGACCTGGCGGTGGACGACTGCGTCCCCGCGCGTGACGAGGACTTCGATGGCTATCGGCTTCCTGTGG